TTTTCGACTTCAAAGATACGGTTAAGAGCCAGGAATTGTGGTGACAGACTTGACAGAAGCAGGTATATGTGTCTTGATCTCAGTCTCACTAGAAACCAAAGCCTGTAGGAGACGCATACATTCAACCTGGACCCGCTGAATACCCTCTTTACAGCAGGCATGGGGCAGGTGCTGAGGACACAGCAGTGGGAGGTGTGGACAGGGTCCCTAACTAGGATGTTTCCAGCCAGGGGATCACAGTAGCTCTGTCAGCTCTGAAACACGACAGCCCCCTAGTCCATAAGGCCCATCAAGTTGGTGATGAGGAAGGAGGGCCTCCCTCTGTTCCTGGACCTCTCCGAAGAAGAACCCTGAGCCAGTGCCAACAGAGCAGCGATCTTTAAACAAGACAACAAAGCAATTTTCTGGATAGTTAAAGCAGTCTCTGTCTTAAACATCCAAATGCCACCTAAAAGCAAAAATGCTGGATTTATAGAGTAAACTGCTCCTAGGTTTCATCTCTGAGGAACGGGAAAAAATTACTTTGACTTTCTTTGTCCATTTTTCAGCTATTTGATTTTTTTTATGTATTGTGTTTAGAACCTAAAATAAACAAAACAAAAACATGCCAGTCTCCCTCTGTCCACACTGATATCTCCTTTCTCTTAAACCTTTTATACACGTGGTCTGTAACGTACAACTCAGCCTTGGCCCCATTTTGTCGTAAGTGGAAAAACCCACAAGTGATGCTGAAGGGCCACTGGCTGGAGGCTCTGGTCGTGACCCTTTCACAGGCGGGATCTTACTCTGGTCTGAGTATTCCTGCCCCCTGACTAGGTACAGAAGCTCATTCAAGGTAGAAAACATAATTTTACTTGGTAATAGTCCTTAAAATGTGGGGTAGGCAAAGAATTTTCAGAAGGGAACTGTATTGATAAATGACACATCTATAGATGAATGGTCAGGAAAAGTCATATAAGATGCTCAGCCTCTTTAGAAATCAGTGAAGTGCACAATGAGATGCCGTTACACACCTACCAGACGAGCCACGTTATCTGAGGGCAAGTGCCAACAAGGAGGCCGAGGAGCAGGAACTCACCGGGGGCTGGCTTCATATAAATCAGGACCAACTTTGTGCATCTTACTGTTCAGCAAATTCTACTCTACCTGGTCTCTGCCCTAAAGAAACTCTTTGAGTTGTGCACCAGGCATAAAAACATCCCTTACAGCGCTGTTTGGAACAGCCAGAAGCTGGAAACAGATGAAATGTACACTGTCAGGAAAATGGATAAATAAACGACAACATAGACGGAAAATGCTACAGTTCTGAAAATGACCAGACTGTGGTCACACACTTCAACACAGATGAGAACTGAATGTGGTGTGGAGCAAAGGATTCAAATGACAGCGCAATGCACGCTGTGTAACTCCATTTACATACATTTCAAAACCAGTTAAGATGAAACCATGCATCTAGGGACACACACCTAAGTGGTAACCCTACACACTAAAGCAAAAGAATGGATACCACTGAAGTCAGGAGAGGGGTTAGCTGGGGTCTGGGAGGATAGGACCAGGGCCGCTAACATCTGGACTTCAGAGTTTCCAGGGATGCTCCAGTTTTTAACCTTTGTAGTTCACTTTATTATTAAAATTATTAAAATATTATTAAAATACACACATACATTTTCTATTTCTTCTGTATGTGTATTTAACAATAGCAAAACAAATTTAAAAGGTTCTCCAAGATATATAGTTAACTGAAAGAAGGTTACAAGGCACTACCTGCACGATGAGGCCATTCCTGTGAAGAACTGAAGGCTTATGGAGCTCAATTTTGCTATTGAAGTCTAGTCGCAATGTCGTGTTAGCTCCTGGTGCACAGCACAGTGACTCAGTTATACATACGTATATTCTTTTTCATTATAGGTTATTACAAGCTATTGAATATAGTATCTAAATGCTTTAAAACAGCCGTTCTACTTATTCGTACATTTCCCTATTCACGATCATTTAAGCCACTTCGAATAAATACTAGCAATTATCTTTGCTGGGACAGTTTAGTGTACTTGTCCCATTATCTCCTTAGGATAAATTTCTAGAAACTGAACTGCCTTTTTACTGGGACTTTTGTGCCACAGACGCAAGCATTACTGATAATTGCAGAAAGCTTGCCGAAGAATGGAATTATTTAATATTCAAAATTTCTGCACTATAATGACAATAGGTCAGAAATAAGTCTTAGTACTTTTTCTTATTTAAGCGGGGAGATGGGCAGCGAACTGCAGGCAGAAATGGGGCTTTGATTTGCATGCTCACACTTTTTTTTTTTTTTTTTTTTGCCTAAGAGAAGAGGCTTCCCTTTCTAAGGACTATTTAAAAAAACCCAAAAAAACCCAAACAAACAGAACTCAAAAAACTCAGCTGTGCCTTTGTCAAGCTGCCTCTCAATCTGCCTAAACATCTTTGCGTAAGTAGCATTTTCCTCCCCAGGGGTCAACGATTTTGTTTCTAGACGTGGATATTTTATTGGCGCAGTCAGCTTTGTTTACACATTCAGCCCTATGTCTTTACTTTTCTTCCATCACTTTACACTGCAGCTCTCATTCTTCCCTACTGGGATTACGCTGGCATTAGAGCGTCGCCTTCGCTAACTGTGACGGCCATTTCTTAAACAGGAAGGGAGTGACTAACAGCCGTGCGCCAACGTGCGCCAGGCATGTGACATCCATTCACGAATCCTCCCAGCACTGTGGGAGGCAGTATTCTCATTCCTCTATTAATGAAAAGGAAACAGGCTTTGAGAACTTGATTCCCTCGCCCCAGATCATGAACAGCACCGTCACAGAGCTGACTCCGTATCCACCTCTCTGCCTCCAGAGTCAATGCTCTGTCCCCCCACGTTGGTAATTATACTTGTGCCAACCAGGAAGGCAGGCGTAGCCCTGCAGGTCTTAACACCCCCACCCAGCTGGTCCTATTTTAACTGCTCATGGAACTGCCTATGAAATGATATTAGGAGAAGTTCAAACCAAGCTCTTTGTTTTAGGACAAGGCTTCAGAGACGGTGCTGTGACATCTGGGGACTCTGGAGAAGCTGCTCAGCTTGATCCCTTGGGCCAGAGAAACACTGTGTGACTCGAACATGGAAAACTGGAATAAGTAATATTGTGCTGGACCATCTGGTCTTAATTAAATTGCTCGGCACTTCCTGAGAACATCCTCTGTCCCCCTCTGAGAGATATGTACGGCTGTCAGAGGCACAACAGGCTACTTGATTGAAAAGGCAGCAAGAAAACAAGTCCCAGAAACCAAGGAAGGTTCCTATTCATGAGTTTCCGGGGCTGGTGAAGAAGATGTGATTCTCTTTATGGCAGAGACTCCTTTTTGGGTTGGGGCCGGGGGGAGGGGCACCTACGGGGTGTTGATCACCAGGCGATCCCACTGCCCCTTGATGTCATCTTCAGAAGGCTGTTCGGTGATATACAGGCCATCAAACTCCAGCTTCCTGGCAATTTCTTTTTCTCTTTTGAAGACCACCAGAGGGACCTGGGAGTGGGAAGACACCAGTTACTTTAAGAAGGCTTTCTAATTAGAACACCCTCTCTCGTGCACACCTTGCCAACTGGCCTTCCAACTTCAGGGCAGCAACCTCTTCGTAGTGGGATTCTTAGGGTGCGTAGCTGTAGGTCCACAGCTAACTAACTCACTTCTCACTCCTGCGGCTAACACACCTCCCTCTCCAAAGCTGATCTGACTTGGGTCAGCCTTTAAACAGCTGATGGTAATACAAACTGGGCTTGCTCCATCTTGGTGAGAAGGCCGTATTTAGATGAACTGCAGGGCCAAATGAATTTGAACTCCTAAAACTCAGGCTGGAGGTAAACCACGACTTAGAAAGGACAATAAATTAGTCTAGAATAGATTGGACAGCTGCAGGAATATGATGAAAAATTCCAACCCCCTCCAACAGCTAGGATCATACTCATCTCATGTCTCTGAAGTCTGGTTAATGAAATATGGTTTAATAGTCAGAATGAGGATCCGCTGGGCTCTGTATATAGTCTTTTCCTATTGAATTTTTTCTTCCTGAGATTCCTTCTGAGAAGAGCTCCTGCCAGGCACACTTGCTTGTTCCTTCCAATCACTCCCCATTCTCTTATTTGTAATCAAAGTTGTAACTTTGATTCTAGCCTAGATATGATGGCATGGCTATAAAGACCTACCACAAAAGGAGAATGTACACAGAAGATGTTGGGGAAATAATCCACTTGCCCCAACCCTCACTAGACACACACACTTCAAATAAGGGACAGAGTTAAATGAGATCAGAGGATCCTATGGGAATATCAGGCAATGAGATGGCAGACTAGCCAGAAAAGCTTAATTCACACAGAGCCAGGGCTTCTCATCCAGCTGGGAAGCTACTGGTTACTTGGCAACAACCCTGAGACCTTGGTCTCCAAACTGTTTTTTCCAGTGAGTCCTTCTCCAAGCTCATGACAGCCATGCACCCTACACTGCTCCTTTATTTTCAGCACACAAAGACAAAATTTAGATAATGGTTTGTAAAGAGTTACTGCCTACCTTTTTTTTTTTTAAACAACACTGAGGACATAAAAGAATCATGACAGAAAGGTGGTGAAGGCTAACAATGGGCATTGCACACTGGGTGGAATCAGTGACTGCTGTTGGTTCGGGGATGATGTGGGAGGGGAAGCAGAGAAAGATGCGCTGATGTCTGCTGGGTGCAGGTGGCTCTGAAGAGCAGTAATAATACCCAGTTTTGGATCAGCACTGATCGCTGGGATTTGAAGCATTCCCTTCAATCTTTTATCAGTCTATGTACCCTTGTAAGCAGAACTTCCACATTTTTATTTCCTAGATAGCGTTTCTTTTTCCCCCAAGGTCACCCATACATCTGCACCCCAGCCGACAAGATGACTTGGATGGTGACCTAAGGAGTAGTAGCTAACATGCTCTAGTGTTCACTATTCTGTTTTCTTTTTCTTTTCTTTTAATGGAGGGACTGGGGATTGAACCCAGGACCTCGTGCCTGCGAAGCATGTGCTCTACCACTGAGCTACACCCTCCCCCCACCCTCCAGTGTTTGCTACTCTGGTTCTGACTACTTTTACACATGTTAATTCATTGAATCCTCTCAGCAACTTTAGCAGTTGGTGTTATTATTATAATACCCTTTTTAAAAAAAGAACAGAGAGGAAATGGAGGAATGGTGAGGTTAAGTGGCAGAATTGTGATCCTGGCTCCAGAATCTGTGCTTTCATTGTTACAGTGGTGCCCTCAGTGTGGTTTAGGGCACGCGCTCTCTCCAATGGGGCAGCTGGGCTTCCTATGTGATCCTGCAGCCCGCTGGGGAAGTGAGGGCCTCAAGGATAGGAGAAGATTTCCTGGACTTTTTCCAGGGAGAAAATGGCTTGGTGTAGAGCCAAGGAAACTTCCTACTTAAGAGAAGTAAAAAGTAAAATGGGAAAAAATTGTCGTGTAGTAGAAACAGATGTGGACTTGGAACATGTAAAACACAATGACTGAAGATGGCCATAACTGTCACAGGCTCTGAAGATGGCCCCAGTGAGCCATGCCTCCTGGTATTCATGCCCTGGCGTGCCCCCTTCACCCTCTGTGCAACAATGAATCTGGGCTGTCTCTATGACCTGCTTTAACCAACAGAATGCAGTAGAAATGGCACCTTGTTAGTTCTGAGCCTAAGCCTTAAGCAGGGCTAGCAGCTTCCTCTCGTGCTCTTTTTGGAAACCCAAGCCATCACCTGTAAGAAGTCCAGCTACTGAGCTGGAGAGAGCACATGGAGACGCCAGGTGGAAAGGGAGAGGCCCTGAGTCTCCATGGAGGGAGAGACCCCGCTACCCGAGCTGAGCCCAGCCTTCCAGCTGTTTCCTCACCAATGTGCCTGGCACTGGCATGTGCCATGGGGGACAGTCTAGCCCACGTGAGCTCCCAGCTGGTGGCTGATGTGGCCACATCCACCTGGAGCAGAAGAACAGCTGAAACGTGCCCAGTAAGACACAGAATCAGAGGGAGAAAATGGTGCTCATTTTAAGCCACTGAATTTTGGGGTGATTTGTTATGTAGCAATAGGCAACAGAAAAAGTAACTCATCTCTAATAGTTAAAACCTAAAAATTTTTTTAATGGAGGTATTGAGGACAGAACCCAGGGCCTCGTGTATGCTAAGCATGTGCTCTGCGGGTGAGTTATTACCCTCCCCCGAAACCTAATGCTTTTGGAAAGGTGAAAAGCATTTTTATAAACATTTTAACATAAGTTCAAAGATCAGAAGAAGCCGTGATTACCAGCTCCATGTGCGACTTAGCCCGATGATTAGGATTCTATGAGATGTAAACAGAGGTGCCTCACGTGAGACTCCTGGAGCAGGGACAGTGTGAGTGCAGACCACCCAGGGGCATGTTCATTGCAGATTCATTGTGAATGGCCTGGGTGGGGGGCAAGGGTCTGCAGTTCTAACCCAGCTCCAGGTGATGCCCATGCCACGGCTCCACCAACCTTGGCCTCTTAGTAAAGCCTTAGAGAACAAAGGGCCAGCTGGGTTCAGAAACGATGCTTCTTCCCCAAGGAGTCAGATTAGATTCAGAGCCACCACGACTTACCTTCAGGCAGTAGTAGCCCACCACGCAGACCAAAGAGATGATGGTGTGGATGACGGCCAGGGCCCGCAGTGCTGGCGCCATATACCCCGTGCTCTCCTGCAGGACAAAGAACACCATTGCTTCCTCCTCGTCCTCATCATTAAAGGAATTCCACAGGTTTGCAATGTCCTCTGTCTCTTCTTCTAAAGGTTCCTCGGTGACCTGGCCCAAGACACACACTCTCTTAGAAACATCAGAGAGACCTCCGCCACGGGGCTCCCCCACGTATTTCACATCGCTGGCACATGCTGTGCAAACAGCAGGGACGCAGCGTTACTTGCTGAGTGAATGAAGATTTAGCTAATTTGTTCCTGGGAATCTCCAGTATCTCCAATAATTGAAAACAAATTTTTTCAGAGACAACTCTTTCGAAAACATTTTTATGTTTCTACCAATTTTAAAGTTAGGGAAGTTTCACTACATATTTTATAGCCCCTACACAGCAGAAAGGAATCTCTGACATGCTATGGCCCAGGAAGAGGCTAAGACAAACGCACACACACACACATTTCCACTCTGTTAGCTGCTCTTCAACCAAGGCTTCACCTGCCATTCTTACACAGTGACCCCCCAGATCAGCACCTCTGAGGCTGTCATCCTGCAGGTCCAACTGCCTGCTGTGCTGGCTATCCTCGCCTGCACGGCTGCTGTCTGAGTCACCTCAACCTCGATATATTCAAAACCTGGCTGTACCACACCCTTCTACAGACTTCCATTTTTCTACTATGGGCAACAGAAAGCCATTAGTGTATCAAGTGGAAGGTTGACATAGGTAAGAGCGTGTTTTATAACAATTAGATTTGTGGTTTTAAAGAGGAAGGGAGAGAGGCATGAGAGAGAACAGCCAGTTAAGACTATGTCTAGAATCTAGGACCTACAGTGGGGCATTTGTCAACGGTGGGCACTGGGTGCTTAACTATCAACTATTGCCATGGGAGCATTGTATACAATTGTCAGGCTTATGTCACTGAAGACTTTTATTCTGATTTTATTATTATTATTTTTGATTGACATATAATCAGTTTACAATGTATGCTGATTTTTCATGATCAAACTTCATGTGATATCGTAGAGACGTGTCTGTAGTGAACTGCAGCAGCAATAATTTCTCTACATGATCAAGGGTTTATCCCAACATTTCTTTTGCTGTTCTCTCTTTAAAAAATGGTTAATGTTAATAAATGACAGGAATAGAAAAGTCAACATAAAGATTTCAGAAGGTGATCTCATGGGACACGGGTATGTGATTCTTTGGATGTGACACCTGGATGTGGTTCTAAAAGCTTTTATTGGGCACTGTCAAATTTGTAATCTTCATAAGGATGGACATATTTATAATGCCTTTCTACAGGTGCTACTACAGACATGAAATTCTTCACCTGAATATCATCTTTGAAAATGTTAAACAGAATTCTGTTAACTTAAATTTTAAGGATTGGCGTACTGTGTTGCTACGAGAGATCTGACTTTCGGCACAGTGCAAAGTTCTTTCAGAGGCATATGTCTTTTTTTGAATTCCATTTTGTTTTAAAGCACATTTAAAATGTAGTTTTCTCATTTAGTAAAAGTTGTCTAATTGATATAAAAAATCCAGGACCTACATTCACTAATTCATTCTACTAACATTTATTATGTGTCTATAGTGTACAAGGCCCACTTCGCAATGTTGAAAATCTTCATTATCTTGACGAACCCTCTCTTCCATCTCCAGAAACCAGCTCGTATGAATTCTTCCTTCATCATGGTTCTAACATATGGGCTATGGATCATGGCTCTCTGTTACCGTACTCCTCAGGGAGAGAACTGTATTTAATATTCAGTTGGAGATACCTCTTAGCTCCTATTACAGGATCTTGCACCAACAAGCATCTGGAGAATTTATTAAGTAATCACTAGAACAAGCTATTGACATGGTGCCCTGACTGGCTTCCCCTGAAGTCTCTCCATTCTTCCCACTGCTAAAGACAGCATCCTTTTTGGAAGTCAGTGTCTCATTAAGAGCATAACTTACAGAACTTTAAAAAAAAAAGTATATATTTAGCAAAAAGCCCCTGAACGAAGTATCACCTTGTAAAAGAGCAGGATGAAGTTGATAGCGAAGGCTACAAACAGAGCAAGGAACCTCAGGTTGTAGAAATTCCTGGCCAGGTAGTGCTGAAACGAAAAGGACAGGCAGAAGTGGAAGAGCTCTGGGAGGGAGAGGGACCGCCCCTCTCTCACACACAAGGTCTTTTCTCATTAGAACTGACACAGGGCTAGTCCTCTTCTAGGAGAATCCTGGCCTTCTTATGATTTATTTGTGGGGGATAAGAAATGTTGATTTTTCTTTAAATTGCTTATAATGGTGCTCTGCTCTGGTTTAAACCTTAGGGAACCAAACGCCCAAACATGACCCAGGCACAGGTCTCAAGTGCCGCTATGAAGGTGCGTGTGTGTGTGTGTGCGTGTGTGTGCATGCGTGCGTGTGCACACGCGCGTGTGTGTACTCCACAGGAAGCAGTTGATTTGGAAATTATGAACGATCTAGGCCCACAAAAGACCCCTGCAGCTCCCACCCTGGCTGGAATCAGACTGTGACCTAGAGTCTTTGTCCCCTTGTAAGTCTCTGTTTGTCCTCTATTGGCAGGGAGCGGAGATCATTCGCATCCTCACTGCCATCTTTTCCGGAAAAACCAGTACTTGAGGACTGGAATGGTAGTGGCTCGGGGAAAGCTCTCACTCTGTCTGTGGAAGGGGCTCCCGCCCATGGTGCTGGGAGGGTGGTCCTGGCCAGCTGGCCATCAGCAACTGTACTTCTGAGGGCAACTGGCCAGAGAAAGGTTACTACAAGCTGTGCTGAGGGCAGAGGGTGTGTGGAGTAACAAGGTTTTTGCAGACTAGTGTGAGAACCTAACAACACAGGAATGTTCTTTCTGCCTCCAAATGATTGTGCTACTTCTAAACTTTTGGACTGGGATCGACCAAGTCCTCACTGAGCATACGTAAAGGTCCAGCCCTCCTGGAGAGAGCGTGGGGCAGGGAGGACCCCTGCGGGATGGAGGAGCGGGAGCTCGGTTCTCCCAATCAGCCCCTTTTCCTTTCCCTCCAACACAGGAGGGACAGGCAGGTACCCGAGGAGAGGGAAGGAAGAGGAATGAGAAAGAGGAGGAAGCACAACTGACCAAATGGTGGAACAAGGTCAGCGGCCACTCCTGTGAGGTCTGCCCGGGCCAGTGCCTGCACCCGAGTGGGGCCAGGGCTGGAGCGCTTACCAGCAACTTGGTCTGATAGATTTCCAGCCCTTTAAAGAAATTGGCCATGAAGGCTTCAGGCTTCTCAGCTTTCTGGCCACACCGTCGCTTCTTCCTCTTTGTCATGTCCGCCCAGAGGGCCTCGGGCTGCTCTTCTTCCTTGGCTGCATCCTCTTTCT